TACTTTTATAAGTGCTGTTTCAGTGCTGTGGGAGGGGCGAAAACCAGACATGACACAATTTTATCAAAGGTTGGAAGACCCCGCCTCCACGCGTAACCAGCTGCATTTCTGATGTGTGTTTTAGAGCTGGGAGCAGAACTGCTGATGAACTGGTTTTTATTTAGGAACAGCACTCGTCTCCTCCATGTCTCCAATCATGTCGCACACACAAATCCACCAATGATTCACTTCCTTATAAACCAGCGGTCTCCAACCTTTTTTGTGCCACGGACCGGTTTATGCCCGACAATATTTTCATGGATGGGCCTTTAAGGTGTCGCGGATAAATACAACAAAATAAAACTAGTACCGAAAAAGGAGATTTATTCATAACACACGTGACTGTGTGTGTGTGTGTGTGTGTGCCTCTCTTCTCTGGTTGATACCAGTTTAGGGGGAAGTTCAGCCTTGTTCTTCTACCACACTGAGTTTTCTTTCCAGCGACTCCGAGATCACATGATGTGAAGAAGTTGTCACATGTGATGTTGCAGCCTTTGAGGCCAGTTGTCATGACCTGCATTTGTCAGGCATAGCTGCTCGTGGCGTCAGATGCTACCCTGATATTTATGCCACATTTCCTTAAAGGGACAGCGACCTCTGAAAGGAACCAGGCGCTCATCAACTGTCACCTCAGGGTTAGTGCATAACTGTAGGTGCTCCACCCACCTGTCCCACCTGTCCCACATGTCCCACATGTCCCACCTGTCCCTGGAGCAGCCAGTTTGTCATTTCTGGAAGAAAGAGTTGGAAGCTGGACTTGATATCCTCCACATGACACATATGTGTTGGCCCTGGTGTCATCTTTATGTTTCCACTCTTGCTCTACTTCCTCTATCCTGGGGGGATGAAGACCGGAGCAAGTGTCCACTCTTGGACTGGACTGTCATCTGTTGACTGGTCGGTCTCCTCAAAGTCTGGATCACAATCTGTGTTGTCTCCCACATCCTCCACATCCTCCTCTACCTCTGGTTCCATTTCAGTGCTTCATCATGCTCACGAAGCTGGACTAGAACCTCTTCAATGGATAGCTGCTTGGTCAGTCGCCTGCTCATTGTGCTCAGAGTAAAAGGCAAACACCAAGCTGTATATATGAGGTCTGAGTGAAGATGATACATGGATTAGTCTGCATGGTGTGGTTCACGTGGGGGATAGGCTTATGTGCCTGTCCCCCATGTGAACGTGTTGTGTACCCGTGTTTGTTCGTGGGTCGTTCAGTGAGTGAGTGAGGTTTATACCCATTCATCTTCTTATGGAGGAACAGCTGTGCAGCTCCTCCAGGGAGTGAAGAGCACAGATGATCCTGATGCTCCTGAGCGGTACTGCTGACAAACCACACTGGGACGCAGTATGTCGGTGCACTTTCAGTGGAGCACCTGTAGAAGGACACTAGCAGCTCCTTGGCTGAGGCGTTGTTCTTCAGGACCCTCAGGAAGTGGAGTCGCTGCTGTGGTGTTTGTTTTCCAGGTCACCACGCAGGTGAAGCCCAGGAGCTTGAGGTCAGAGACACTATTCATGTGAGGGTCAGATGTTCTCCTTCTAGCTTCCAGCTATTATTTCTTTGGTTTTTGTGGTGTTGAGGACAGATGTGTCCCTACTTTGACTCTCTGTGGGCGATCACTGAGGAAGTCCTTGATCCAGAGGCAGGAGGAGTGTAGTTTGGTTACCAGCCTGGCAGGGACGATGGTGTTAACAGCTGAGCTAACGTCAATAAAAAGAAGCCTGACGTAGCTGTCCTTTTGTTCAAAGTCAGTTAGGGTTGTATGGAGGGCTATGGCGTCTTCTGTTTGTCTGTTCTTCCCGTATGCAAACTGGTGGAGATTGAATGTGGCGGGGAGTCTTCTCGAGACACTTCGAGATGACTGGAGTAAGAGCCACTGGGTGGAAATCGTTAGGCTAGCTAGACACATGAACAGGCTGGTGGTGCACCTGGGGCCTCACGCTCACCGTCCTGTTTCCCCGGCTGCTCGGGGCCTGCCACCTCATCAGCTGGCACATTATCTGCTCA